ACATTTGGCTGCCTTGAAGCTGTGCTGACCATCGCATCTGTTCTCACGGCTCGCAGCCCGTTCATATCACCACGAGAGCGAGATCAGGACACTCGAAATGAGTTCGACCGTCTTCGCGCTTCATTCTCTAACAACCAGGGAGACCTACTTGTAGACCTTCGAGCATACGAACAATGGTCTACATTACGCAGCAAAGGCACATCAACACGAGACCTCCGCTTCTGGTGTCAAGACAACCGACTGAACCCCCAAACCATGTTCGACATCGCGTCCAATCGCACCCAGTATTTGTCGTCTCTCAAGGAAATTTCATTCATTCCGACACACTACTCGTCCGCCAACCCTTCCACACACTCATACTACAACAAACACAACGCGAATGACGCGCTTTTACGCGCTTTGATCGCTGGGTCTTTTAACCCGCAGATCGCCCGCATCCAGCTCCCCGACAAGAAGTTCGCAGCAGGCATAGCTGGAGCTGTAGAACTCGATCCTTCAGCCCGCGAAATTAAGTACTTCAACCAAGAAAACGGACGCGTCTTTGTTCACCCATCGTCTACCCTCTTCGCCAGCCAGACCTTCCCACACAACGCTTCTTTCATTGCGTACTTCAATAAAATGGCTACAAGTAAAGTCTTCATCAGAGATATCACGCCGTTCAATGCATACAGTCTGCTTTTGTTTGCTGGAGAGATCAAGGTTGATACGCTGGGTAGGGGCTTGGTGGTTGATGAGTGGATTAGGCTGAGGGGCTGGGCAAGGATTGGTGTGTTGGTTAGTCGGTTAAGGGGTATGCTGGATGGTGTGTTGGAGAGCATGGTGAAGGAGCCAGGGATGGGAGTTAGTGATAGGCAGAGTGAGGTTATTGATGTCGTTAGACGGATGGTTGAAAGGGATGGATTAGACGCTTAGACGCTTACTACCTTACTCGACGGGACTGTTAGATCGGAGGGTACGGTTCGCCCTAGAACAGTGGTATAAATGAATGAACCAATCACTCCGGGACATATTTGGCTACAAAATAGGCTTTAGGGCTTGTTGGGTGCTCTTTCCTGTTACGCCCTGCAGTTGCCAATCAACAACAGAAGCAAGGGTTAGCGCGGGGTGAGGGCCACGTAGGTCGCTTCCTCAACATCCTACACTCACATCTAGGCACACTCACGTCGAAAAGAATAAAGCGTTAACGTCATACCAGTTGTCATTTCAATAATGCTGCCAATTTGATCCCTCCTGTGTCAACACATTTTCGCCCGCCCGGGGCCTGGCCAACGGCGTGTTACTGCACCAATCAGTGACTGCCTGATTGATTGACCAATGTACTGCCTAAGCCTCGGAATTTTGGATGCGCGAATACCAAAACGATGACGTTCACAATCACCTGTGCGAAGGATGCGACTGCTGCGCCTGTTCTTCCAAGCGCCGATCGCAGCATAGCCGTCATGTGGCACAGTCCTGACATGGTGCCGGGTTACCCTGTCTATCAGAGCTGCCTGAAGTAGCACGCAGTCCTTTCCCCTCTGTTTTCGCTACTATACGATGATAGCATACGAAACAATCCTGGAGTACAAGAGCAGCCATGGCCGATAACGGCTTGGACGACGAAATCATCCAGGGTCATACCCAAGCGCAAATCGAAATCGCGTTGCGCACCTCCTACGTGTATTCTCCTCTCGACGATTTAAATGACGAGATCAGAGTAGTTAAAATTCATACATTCAACGCCACCAACAGCGTTATCGAATGCGACATTGAACACTGTCACTTGAGCGAAGCAGTGGACACCTACGAAGCTGTCTCGTATGTCTGGGGAAATCACTCGGACGACCATCATATCCTCTGTGACAACGGAAAGAGCCATCTTCAGGTGAAGCCTAGTCTTCACGTTATTCTCTCGCGAATTGCCTCGCTGCCAGAAAATACTGGCCACCAACGCTACTGGATCGATAGCATCTGTATCAATCAAGATGATGCAATGGAGCGAGGCAGACAAATTCAAAAGATGACAGATATTTATCACAACGCTGGTCGCGTGCATATTTTTCTGGGAACCGTGGAACCAGACAGGTATCCCATCAGTAGCTGGTTCTCACGGAGATGGGTACGTACATTATACACGTGCGATCAGACAATACTACACTGCATCTAACACATATGACACAGGTCATTCAAGAGCACTTGAACGCGAAGCGAGCCACTATACACTCCAAAAGGCATGATGCGTGGTACTGTCATGATAATTGGGGATCATTTCAGCAACAGGACTACAAGCTACCAGATGGTCAGCCTGCTATGGGCCAAGTTGACGTTGCCCGGTTTCACATACTCACCATTATGCTTGGGTTCCGCGACAAACAATGTCGGGACGATCGAGACCGCCTATTTGCGCTTATAGGTGGATCCTGCGATGTCGTAACTAAGGATATCGAACAGCCATTCTCAATGACCCACAAGTCAATGATCTATTATAAACCGGATTACACGGCGACGACCGAACAAGCTTATCTCAAATTTGCTCAGGCAGCGCTTGTCTCGACTTCAGCTTTCAATCTCTTGTCCTGTGCTGCAGCTTTTCGACGTACGGATTGCCAGGTACCAAGAGCTCTACCCTCGTGGGTACCGGACTGGAGGTGTGATCTTATCTATATCCCAACGGTAGATGGAGACGGATGGTTAGACATCGAACCGTTCACAGCGAGCCCTTTGAAGTCCACGAATGGATCGTTGCGCAACAACATACCAAGCGTTGTAGTAAATGAGGATGGTCGTTCCATTACCCTTCAAGCCGCACCGTTTGGGATAATAGAGACGATCTCGGAGAGGACGCCATTCTGGGGTCTCAGTCACACTATCGAAATAGACAACGGATATCAAGCGGTGGCTCCTGGAACTGTCGCTCTTGGGGACCAAGTCGTGATTCCCGTAGGTGCGCCGACACCACTCGTCCTAAGACAGCAGAAGGATAAATTCGCAAATTACACATTGATATCGAATTGCTGGGTCGTCGGAGACCCTAATCAAACCGCCCCATCGGCACAAGATTGGATCATGAACGCGGACTGCGGAGGCGGAGTGAATTTTGCATCTATTCGCGACTATCGTATCATCTGAGCATGAACAACTCTCCGACCACATCCGAGCAACATGCAATAAACTACTGCATCACGTCTTTCCACGCATACACCACAAGTAGCGTGAAGCGATGCTGGTTGAGCTTGTGTGCTGCATGGCGAGTTGGGTCTTCGCAGCGGCGCGGGTACTTCTATGATAATAACCCGACCAGGAGTTCGAAGTGTCTGTACCGCGCGTTGTGGGCCGCTCCTATGAGGAGACCGTCGCTGACACCGGTCGGTGCTAGAGTTCCGCGAACTGGAAAAGACTGCGCACTCTCGCACAGTCGCCTGGATTCATGTACTCAACAGCAATCCGGAACACTGAAGTACGAAAAATGTACTATACAGCAATGCTTTCAAGAATCCTTGGCGCTCATCGTGGCTTTGGGCAGTGATCTTGTGCAGCCATAGCAAACATCCCTTCTGTTGTTCGCGGATTCAAAGTCACCGCCATCCTGCTGATCGCCACCCCAGCCGTGTATGCCAAATCGGCCGCCCGATACAGGCATGCTGCACAGGCTACATTGCGGATCTGAGTGAGCATCGGGTCGAGCTTGGAGCTTGCTTGTCGTGCGGACTACATTTGCGACGATGCTTGGAAAGTTCTCTTCGACGGATTCGAAGTACTGCGTCATGAGGTCGTCAATGGTAGTGTTCTTGGAGCTTGTTGACGCCTGGGTAGCGCCTGTTGAAGTTTCGTGTACGAGTTCTGATAGTCCAGGTTCCGCCATCTTGGTGTAGGATACTAGCTCTTTCTTCAAGACATCTCGAAGCGGGTAGTGGAAGTTGAGACCAAAGGGCGACATTCCATCTGAGACTTGCCATGGCAGAGAAAACCCTCGGCCCTTGGCAGTTTCGGCAAGCGTCTTTTGAGCGAGCCTGGTCGTACTATCTCCCCAGAGGATACTTTCGCACCCGGCCAACTTTGCGTGCTCTACGATTAGCCGTGTTTTTAGGGTAGAGAGCACGTCCGCACGAGCCGTGGCCGAGGTGAGAGAGTTGATCATGTGAACAAATTGCTCTTCGGGACTCAAGTCTGCCTTTTGGTCGTTCTGCGGCACCAACGAGCGTATCGAGGCATCTTCTGGGACCAGGCGAAATATATCGTGCAGCGGCAGTGAGGCGTACTGATGGTCCGGATATTGCTCGCGAGCCTTGTCGAGTAGCTGCGCAGCTTGCACTTTCTGTTCTGGATCCTCTATATATATTGCGCTAATTTCAAATCCGGTACGGCCAGTCTTGCTCTTTTGCGTCTTGAGATGTAGGTCCAGTACGTGGAGGAGAGTGGTAGAAGAGACCCCAAAGGACAGGGGTACTAGGATCTTACGCTGCTGCTCTGCTCCAAAATTAACGCGAAACGATTCCAAGCGCTTGATGCACTTTGTATGCACGTAGCGGGCGAAGCAGTCACTATGTTAAATTTAGCGAATTCTTCTTCCCCTCCAGGTGGCGTAAACTGACTGGCAAAGCGGCTCGGAGCGCACAACAAGAACTGAAGGATCTTTGCATCGTCTGCAAGGCTCGTCAGAGGCGCCAGCAATGTGTTTGCCTGGCATGATGTGCGTGTGTTGGGCTGATATTGGTGAATGTGTTTGGTAGGGCTGACTCTTCGGCGGTTCTGGTCGTGGTTGCCCTTTGACGCCCGGCTGCGCCACACTCTGGGAATGCGCGCTAACAGCTACCGGGAAGGCGGCCGTAGGTGACGATCGGGAACGTTGACGCGCAAGCCAAACATCGTCAACTAAACACCAACTCCCACCCATGACCCGCCGTTAACCAGGAATTGACGGGAAGACGCTGTCGCCAGTTCGAATCGAATCGCATACCTCCGCCTGAAGCGCCGCAAACCTCCAGCCGTCAGCTCCGCCAGCTGGCCTCACATCCGGCAAGATGAAGGCACGGCTGCGCAACATCGCTCTACTGCTGTTCACTACGATAACAGCAGTAGCAGCGATGGATGTTACGCTCTCCGATAAGGAGACGCAAAAGTGCAGGTATGTAGGAAGATGTGCATCTTGGGTTAGCCAGAGGCAGCATGCTCATACAAGTCCAGCGGCATGTACAGCAAGAAATCGTGGGGAGGCAAGGTCGATCCCTTCATACTTGTCAAGTTCATAAAAGATCCCAAGAAGAACGAGGGCATCAAGGACCAAACTGTCAGCCTGGTGATCTGGGAATGGAAAGACACTTTACTTCTGGGCGCACCTTCCGACTTGCCCGTGAATGATGTACGTGGGTCCCGATACTCTCCGCATAACCCAACTGACTTCCTCCAGGAAAATCGCCACTACATTTGCGACGACGAATCGATAAAACTGAAACTCTGCGACGAAAAAGATAAGGGCAAATGGGTGCTTGCAGAAGACGTCGAAGACGCTTCTCAGATGCCTATTCGAACCGACGCCATCAATCTCGACGACCCGAAACCGATCAAATACCCAGTCTCCACCGCAGAAACAAAGGTCCCAATCAAGACGGGCTACTATTGTGTGGCTGCGAATGCGGCAGACAAAGAACTGGAATTCGAGGCTATTGTGACATTCCGGAATGCCTATGGCGAGCTCCAGGCCGCCCAGATTGCGAAACTCCCATTTTACGGCGGCATTACAATTGTGTACTTTGTTGTGCTGGCATTCTGGGGCTTCCTATATTTCCAGAATCGCCACGACATTCTTGCCGTCCAGAACTACATCACGGCCATCCTAGTCTTCCTAGTCGTGGAGATGCTAATGACCTGGGGCTACTACGACTACCAGAACCGCCACGGTAACAACGTCGGTACCAAAGCTCTCATGATCGTCGTCGCTGTACTGAACGCTTTCCGCAACTCCTTCTCGTTCTTCCTCCTGTTGATCGTATGCATGGGATATGGCGTTGTCAAGCCTTCTCTTGGCAAGACCATGACTGTTGTTCGCTGGCTTGCTGTAGCTCACTTCATCTTTGGCGTAATTTACGCTGTGGCTTCGCTTACTGTTCGTCCCGATGATGCTGGACCTCTGGTCTTGCTAGTCATCCTTCCTCTGTCGGCTACCCTCACGGCCTTCTACATCTGGACTCTGAACTCGCTAAACCTCACGATGAAGGACTTGATGGAGCGCAAGCAGCACGTCAAGGCTACCATGTACAAGAGATTATGGTGGTGCATCTTGACAAGCATCGTCGTTATCTTTGGTTTCTTCTTCATCAACAGCTTCACTTTTGCTGGAGCGTCGACACCTGACTTCGCGCCGACCCATTGGCAAACACGATGGTTCGTGCTCGATGGCTGGCTAAATCTCGTCTACCTGGCCGACGTCTGTTTCGTCGCGTATATGTGGAGACCAACGGCCAACAACCGAAGGTTCGCCATGAGTGATGAGGTACGTTTTTGCGAATATAGCACCCACATTCTTACTAACGACTTTTTAGATTGCACAAGATGACGAAGGCTTCGAAATTGCCTCGATGAGAGACTCTCTTGATGAAGAAGAGAGAGGAGCAGACCAACCCCCTTCGTACGACCCAGCGCAGAGGTCGAACAACAACAACAACATTGCGCGCGATGTATCGCCATTGCCCGCACCGCAAGCCCAGAAGCCCATTGTACCTCCCAGGGAGAGCCTCGATGGCGACACCATCTTCGCGGTAGGCGAGGATGATAAGTGGAGCAGTGAAGAAAGTGGCGACGAGGAAGAAAGCGAGGATGAGGAGGATGATTCGGACGACTCGGATGATTCAGACGAGTCAGGGCCATCGAATTCAAAAGCGAAGGACAGTGAGCGGTCCAGATTAACTGGTCGAAAGAACGACTAGGTGTTGATTTGACGCGTCAAACAACGGCGTTGGATGGCCAACAACACTTTTCATGACGTTAGCGTTATCCCCAACATGTTGTTTGATAGATTAGGCGTTCCCAGCGTTTTTGTAGTACATTTGGCCTGAAGGCCCAGATCTAGCATATTCGATGACATCAATTCGTCGCATCTCGCTCTAGCCGTAACTCCGTAATTGCCGAGGCATCTCGAGCTCTGATCAAGCCCTCACGTACCTCACTAAGCACCCTCACAACTGCCATGGCGACCTCTTCACTGAGCGCACCGCTGCGGACGCCCAAATACATATGCGACGCTTGCCGAACAAATGTGCGCTCCCTACGCAGACCGGCCGTCGATACGTACCGAACCTTCAGCACCGCATCATCTTCAAACGGCAAAATCCCCACGCGGCCGATATCATTTCCGTACCGTCGCGATCGATTTATCATCTCACCGCTGCATAACGAAAATGCTCGCGGACGATTCGAAAAGCGCCAATACTCGACAACGAGCTCCTCTTCGCAAGCTGCCAGCTCAAGCTGTGCACCGCTCCCGCATCGCCGCCTCATCTCTCTCTCTGGGCCCGATACCGTCAAGTTCCTCCAGGGGCTGATAACGAACAATGTCGATTCGAGCCGTCAGTCGCCCTTCTACGCTGCCTTTCTAGATGCGCGCGGCCGCGTATTGTGGGATGTCTTTGTCTGGGTGTGGCCAAAATTACTGGAGGGCAAGGAGCATTGGGCATGCTATATTGAGGTGGATGAGAGCGAGATGGAGTCTCTAAGGAAGCATCTGAAGAGACACAAGCTACGGAGTAAGGTGCAGATCGAAGAGGTAGAACCGGACGAAATGCGCGTGTGGGCAGCTTGGGGCTCTGAGGTTGAGCATGCCAATACCGACAATGTCATCACTGCGATGAGCGATCCGCGTGCACCAGACATGCATCGCTACCTCGTAAGTCCCGACGTAGCGACAATAATAGAGGGGGTGGAGCCAGTGGATATCCAGGAATACCACCTTCAACGTTACAGGAACGGCATCCCCGAAGGACCGCAGGAGATACCAAGAGAAAGCGCATTGCCTATGGAGTGCAATATCGATCTATGGCATGGTATAGACTTCAAGAAAGGTTGTTACGTTGGCCAGGAACTTACCATCCGTACGAAACACACCGGTATCGTGCGGAAGCGCGTCTTGCCCATCGACATTGAGAAACCTGCCGCATCCGCAGCCCTTCCAGACTATGGCACGGACATCAAACAACTAGATGCAGATGGTAACACGAAGAAGGGTCGTGCGACAGGCAAGTTCATTGCGGGCATTGGGCAAGTAGGTCTTGCAATGTGTCGGTTGGAGAACATGACTAGCATGAAGATCAGTGCCGAGGGAGGCACATGGAAGCCGGAAATGGAGTTTGGATGCGAGACAGGCGAAGGCGTTGTCAAGATCAAGCCTATTCTGCATGATTGGTTTGTACAGAGGGAGAGGGAGCTTTGGGAGAAGAACAAGAATAGACCTAGCCTGTAGACATGTGATGAGCTATTCTATCTGCGGAAAGCTACATCTTCTCTACGATCCTCGTTTACCCCTAGGTTTCCTGTCGAATTTGGTTCTGCGGGTTTTGTGTTCACCGGACGCCTCGTTCGCAATAGTCCATGCCCAGGTGAGCTTATGGTCGCGGGTGGGGCTGTGTAATTGTGGCTTAGCTCGTGTGGTTGGGGAAACGTCACCAGGTCATTCCGCATCGTAACTTCGATATATCCGTGTCATACCCGCAGTCATAATCGCAGCCCTTTTCCTATTCTTCTGCAAATAATATCTTCTCTAGAATTACTCCTTCGCGTCCCGTGTGTCCACATCCAGGTTCCTCGACGATATGGCCGCCACACTACCCTCAAGATCATCGGAACATCACTTCTCCATCTCAAACATCATCTCCAAATTTCGGTCAAAGAAAGGGACGAGCAACAAAAAGTCCGATGCGCAACCGTCGCGGGAGATCTTGCAAGAGACGCGCCTGCCACTAAAGCCCGCGCCACTACCCTTAGTCCTACCAGAACATCAACAGACCCTGTCAGCTCTCGGCTGGACGACCGTCACTTTCCCTGAATCATCACCATCCCAATCTGAAGCGACAAATCACAAGCATCAAGCCCCAGCGCCTGGGCCTCACCCTCTGCAGGCCGCATACGAACAGCTCTTCGCAGCAAGTCAAGCTTTCTTCAACCAGCCCGATAAGGAAAAGCAGCGATGGAAGCACAAGCTCAAGTCTGAAGAAGGCTGGTCCAAAATCCCCGGCGAAAAGGAATTCATCACTTTGCGAACTCTAGAGTACTGTCCAGAAGTCTTGAGAGGGCCTGCAAAGAGGTATTGGGACCTCATTGGACAGCATTGCTCGAACACGTTGGGTAGAATCTCAACGTCCCTTGGGCTACCAGATGGCGAAGATGAAGGGCTGAGACAGTTTGTTGGACCCTGCGGTGCGCTGCAAGCTATTGATAAGGAGAAGACGGCGACGATGCTGCGGTTGTTCAGATATGAGGGGTGGGAGGCGAAGGTTGTGGCTGAACCGCATGCTGATCTGGGACTGCTAAGCGTGGTTATTGGTGATGTGCCTGGCTTGGAAGTTTGGGATGGAGCCAACTGGTTCGAGGTCGAGAAAGTAGTCGAAAATTCTGGGAGCAAAGGTGCTACTATGCTCGCTGGACGACAACTCGAAAGACTTTCCAATGGTAGATACCCAGCTGGTGGTCATCGAGTGGTAGCTTACGGATCTCCGGAGCCTTCGCCAAACACCCCCTCAACGGACGACAAAAAGTACCGCTTCTCGATCGTTTTCGTTCTTCGCGCCCACGAACCTCTCATCATCAACTCCGATTCCTTCGAGACTGAAGTCACTGGCAAGTGGACTGAACCTATGAATGGTATTACTGCGGGTAGGTTCTACGAGAAGATCAGAGGCCAGCACTTCAACATTAATATCGATATGGACGAGAGGGAGAAGCAGAGAAATAAGCTGAACGTCAAAGGCGGGAAGAAGCAAGCCTGGGAAGGCAAGGAGGGTAAGGTTGCGAGTAGTGGTTAGATGTGGCGCATAGAGTTATAGGTCTTTTCAAATTGCTTAGGACTACAAAATGCCTGCACTCAGCGCCACGCGACCATCGTATGAGAGCATACTTGTGATGTATGCGTCTCTCGCTCAACCCGTGGACGCTACTAGAACCCAAGCTAGCTGTATTGAGCTTAGTGCTTTTGATACCCCCCTCCCACCGTACTCTGCAGTGATGCACCACTGCTGCGATCACTAACATGTACACGACAAGGAGTACGAATCAGACTTCATCAACAATATGTGCCGCTGACATAAGCTGACACACACGACATGATGCATATCGCGAGACGCTAGAGGACAGATGTAGCCTCAGCCGCACCTGTTGCCGCGGGGTCGAAATCCGATAAACCCGCCTCCCGCCCCCAAGGATGCTTGGAAAGTCATCAGCGCTTTGAGTTCTCGAACGCATCTTACTCTACATATACACTCAATCATGATCTTTATCGACACTACGACACTGGCCCTCCACGTTCGGGATCATGCAGATCCGGATCAGAAATATGCCATCTTATCACATGTGTGGGGTCGCACCATAGATGAGGTGACTTACGAAGAAATGCTAGTGCCGCCGCAAGACCGTCCAGAAACAACACTCTCGAAGCCTGGGTACAAGAAGATCGTGGAGACGTGTAAGATGGCTTCTTCATCCCGACACAAACTCAAGTATGCATGGTGCGATACGTGCTGCATAAACAAGTCCAGTAGTGCAGAGCTCAGCGAGGCAATCAACTCCATGTTCAGGTACTATAAAGAAGCCTCAGTGTGCTTCGCCTATCTATTCGACATTGATCACACCGCCTTCTCTTTCAAGTCATCGAAATGGTTCCGTCGTGGCTGGACGCTCCAAGAGCTCATTGCGCCGAAGAACGTCGTCTTCTTCGATCAAAACTGGGAGTTTAGGGGTACCAAGGCGAGCTTAGCGGATCAGATCACGGAAATCACAGGCATTCCGGACGATATTCTCAAGCACCAGATGGAGCTAAGCGAAGTGCCTGTTGCTCAGAGGTTTTCGTGGGCGTCTACGCGCAAGACTACCAGGGAAGAAGACATTGCCTACAGTCTCATGGGAATATTCGACATCAACATGGCAATGCTCTACGGAGAAGGGTCGAAAGCGTTCATCCGGTTGCAGGAACACATACTCAGCGAAACTGCCGATGACTCACTCTTCCTTTGGAATGATACCTTCTCATACCATAAGCTATCAGGTCTTCTTGCTCCTTCTCCCAGCTGTTTTCGGCAAATGCGATCAATCACCCCCGAACCGGCTGTTAAGCCACGAGACTTTTACATGACAAACCGTGGCATCCGACTGAAACTGGGACTCGCCTGGGATCACGATACCGGACTTGCTATACTGCCAGTGAAACATTCGCTGGGCGCTGTTGGCAGACCTGTTGGAATTTACCTCAGGAGAGTCGGACCCGATCTGTTTGTTCGCGCGCTGCCTCAAGAGTGCCCCAGGGTCAAGACTGAAGTGACTTACACCGAGTTCACTGCGGTCAAATCGTTGACAGGTCCGCAGGCTTCGACGATCATGGAAAAAGTCATGCGGGTAGAGAAGCCCGCCGGTGTGCATGTCAGTCGAGTCGAACCTCGTGGCATATGGGATCCGGCTGCAAAATGGCTGCACGCGACACATACGGGCGCCATCATAGGCTACATGGAGTTCAAGAAGGAAGCATATCCCACATTCGCATTCGTGTTCTTTTTCAGAAACGGTCATTGGTCGGCTACGGTAGTAGTGGGAGACCAGTGGACCAACATACAGAAGAAGTTCCACAAGCATTACCGCGATAACCTTGAAGAGCTCCGTTACTTCGATACAATGGGCGACGCGAGAATGCAAAAGATTGAAAAGATCAAATCCGATTCGAAAGTGCTCACGCTGCACATGCGAGTTGCGAGAGGTACTGGGCGACCCCATTTGGAGATAAAGGAAGTAGACAGGAAGGCTGGCACATCTTGATTTGTGTTGTTGCGCGAACGCATCTGGATTCCATGTTGCAGCAAACTACGTATATTTACAAAGAACAGAACAAAGTTGCATGCCCCGTGGTCACAAGTACATGAAATCATACTCCTTCTTCAACCTTCCGAAACCAATGGTCGGTTGATAGTCCTCGACCTTGTCAGCACCAAAGTCAAAGACAGAGTAGTGTCTTCGCAGGAACGGAGCGCCGATCAACGCGAAACCTTCGCTCTCGCTGCTGTCAAATGGCGGCATGCATTGGTGGCCCGGCAAGAGAAACTCGTCGCCTCGAAGGGTGAAGGACACATCGTCCTCTCGGGCGCCCTCGCCAAGTGTCACAGTAATGGCCCACGAAGCGTTCAGGTGCTTACACTCCATGATCTCTTCGCCGTGGTTGGTGAGCTTGGTGTAATTCCAGCCGAGGTTGAAGTACATGGCGTCGATGATGTCGCTCGGGAAGGAGACACGTCCAGATCCAGTATCGAAAACCGCTCCACCTTGGTAGATTGACCATGTTACGTTGGCGTCTGGTTCACCACCGTTCGATACGGCAGTGGTAGGAAGGTGGCCGTTGTGTATCTCAATGGTTGCGTTTGTTTCCGATACGTTCTCCGCAACGAGCACGTTGATGCTCCTTAGTGGCGCACGCCAGAGTTGATATGGATCCTCTTTCCTCAAGGGCGTAGAGGCCACCTCGCCATCTACGTATTTGCCCTCATGGCTGCCACCGATAGTCAGCACACCGTCTTGGGTGCCGTTACCCGCATCCTCAAAGTTCGTCCCGTAAAATAGACTGAAACGCGGTGCGTCCAGTTTTCCGTCCCACAACAATGTCTCGACCAGGGTCGACGTGTTCTTTTCCGCGATGGAGGAGAAACCCAGGCCGAGGAAACCATCGGCAGTAATGAAACGCCAGCTGCTCTGGTTGGCGGATAGGAAGGTCTGGTTCCATTCCACGCTACCGTCTAGAGTGCTGAAAACGTCCTGGATAGTATCGCCAGCGACGTCACCGCCAAGGTATGGAATCGCCGCGGGGATGTTGAGGTCGACGGATGTTGACGAAGCAGACGCGTTGTATTTCTCTCGAACGTAGGATGTGACCCTGCCATCAGGGCACGATTCCTCAGTGCAGTCAGTGTTGACGACGAACAGCGTTGATGACCCGGTGTCGAACAACAACCGGTGTTCCTTCGGGGGTGTTCCGATTTCGAATTTGACGCTGGCATAGCTGTTGTCGATGACGACGGGCAGTTCAAGAACGGATGCCGAGACGGTGGTGGCGACGGCCAGGAGCTTCTTCATTTGGGCCACCATGGTGAAAGATGGTGTTCTGTTAAGACGGTGGTGTGAGTATCAAGAGATGAGATGCTCTTGACTTGGAGGAGGAAGTACTAGGCGGCATGACGGAGGTATATATTAGTACCTGCGCTCGCGCTACTCAGTAATACAGCCTGAACATCGTATTTACAAGGATACCCACACGAAGTTTCAACGGTTCTGTCCATTGACATTCGAGCGCGAAGACCAAAAGATGACGGTCGTGTTCTAAAATTAACAAAAGTGGTCTTCTGGAAGACTTCAAAGCTAGATGAGGCTCACAGACCGATGTGCACTGTCCGGAAAGGGGCACGCAAGGGCTGTACGAGGACTAGCTCTTATCCATCGGCCCGGAGAGATCCACAAACATGGGCCGTTTAGTACGGATAGGGCTGGATAGGAATTGCAAGGGAGTTTTGAGCGGATTTATGACGTGCGTGAAGTACGCAGAGAATGAAACAACGAAGATGCTCTCTACAGAATATGACTGAGTTCAAAGAGTGTCCGGGAAAGCTAGTGCGAAGGTGCCATCGCCACGTGATACGGATACGGAGTCCATCAGCCGAAGAAAATCCGTGAGAACAAATCTCCGCGGGATCCGCGTGTTCAGGTGTGATTGTACAGACCACGCATTCTTTCTTTATGTACGAATTTGAGCTGCGCACCGTCGTTGTCTCTTTTACGTCTTGGGCCTGATGCGTGTGATTGATCTCTCACGATGGCAACATCCTGCAACGACAGAATGCAGTTCGTCGGCACCCGGTAGTTGTGGCACCAGCCCTGCAAGTGTGAGGTCGAAACTCCCATCGCGAGAGCCTTCCTTCCTCGGCGGGTCTACGACCTCTCAGCTTCTAGCACCTCTTCTCCGTCGATGAATGGAGATATCATGGCATTGACCGTTACTTCTGTCGCAAGCATATTTTCTCATGCGAAGAAAATCCCCAAATCCTTGAGCAACTCTGGACGACCGTGAATCTGGGATCCGCACGCGATCCGACCCTACCTAAGTATCGAAGCTGCATCGGACAATTTAGCGCAGTCGAAGCGAAAGGCCGTGGCGAATATGTCGATCGGAACGAAAGCTCATTGTATTGCCTAGTTCGCGAAGGGAGACATGTAGAAGGTAAAATATGATGTTGGAGGTTGAGGATGCGAGACGCGAGACGCTGCCGCACAGCCTCCGCATGGCTGACTGCGGCTGGAGATCAGCTCAGCCTGATTGCATCGGTGGGTAGGCAGCACTTCAGCCTTTCGACGGTTGTCTGTTCATCTCCATCTCCACAATAGACCAGAAACAAGAAAACAGAACTTCTTCACCAAGCGCTATTCCGTACATCAAAGTCGCGCACGTCGCGCACCTTCCCCGAAGCTTCTCAGCTTCCCAATTACGCGCGAAGATGATCAGCGAAACCCCATCCTCCGCGTTCCAGCACGACCCACTTCCCGACTCTTCCACACACTTCCGCCTACTACACATTCTGCGCGGCGACTTTGGCCAACATGTCGAATGCGAGATCTCCTCATGGCCGATCGACGATGCACCATCCTACTACGCGATATCGTATACCTGGGGCGACCCAGCTGACACGGCCAAAATCACTGTCAACGGCAAGCCGCTGGCTGTACGTCGGAATTGCGAATACGTGCTTCAGCAAGCTTTTGCGACGAAAGCTAGTCGGTATTACTGGGTCGACGCCATCTGTATCGCACAGACGAGTATACAGGAGAGAAATCACCAAGTCGGCATCATGGGCAAGATATATTCGGGAGCGAAGCACGTCTTCGCGTGTGTCGGGCCACATGCAGATGACAGCGAGTACCTAATGGCAACTGTTGGTCGGCAGCGGCCCATTCTCGAGAAGATCAACAAATGGGGCAAATCGGTTAAGTCCTATGGAATGATCGACCTATTTTATAACGCCCCGTATCCGTTTATCGAAGGGCAAAGACGTGCGTGGCGGTGGTTGCGATGTCTCTTTACTATGCATACCTCGGAGCAACTACGAACGAGCAAAGCGTTTCTTTCATTCACGACGAGGCCATATTTTACACGTGTGTGGGTCTTACAGGAGCTGCATCTAGCCACTAGATTATCATACTGTTGTGGTGCGGACGTACAGCCGGGCGGGTATATCCGAGCACTGGAACCACTTGTCGAATACTGGATCGACGACCACCAGGGAGCATATCTCCATAGGAAATTGAAAAGGTCTCGGAAATGGATTCTACAGAAGCGTGCTCGAGTCAACAGCCCCTCGAAGGAATCGTGGCCCGACCTACAGGGCTTCTACTGGCAGGGAAAGACGGCCGGGACTTGTTTACGACTTGGTGTATCAGCGCAAAAGCAAGACTTTGATGCAATGTTAATGGTCATCCGTGATTTTTGTTGTGTAGACACTCGGGACAATCTTTATGGTATCCTATCCCTTGTAAAGTGGCCACAGGGACAGGGGCCCACTCCGGATTACACAAAAGACCAGTTTGAAGTTGCTAAGCACGTTCTCAGCCTTTGGTACCAGAAGCATTGCTTCCATCTATCCTTTAAAGAGCAGTGTTTTGAACTGTTCTCAATCTTCGACGTTACTTTGGAACTACCATCTTTACGCCACGCTATCACGTTACGTTCGAGCGTCATTACTCAAGCGGACCTCCGACTACAAGACAATCATGCCCCCAAGATTGACAAAGTGCAGGCGGAGTGGAGGGGCATACAGATTAGCGATGGCAATCCAATATCTAAACACGTCGGCAGCCGGAGGCAGAGCAACCTAGACTCATGCTATATCGAGCAAGTGCCGAACCGACGCTTTGTTTTGATACGAATATGCTCACGAATTACCATACGCGCACATGTCGACACGAAAGTGGGTGACTGGTGTCTGGTAGAGGATCCGTCTCCTTTTCGGAATGGTAGCTGCGGGTTGATACTTCGAAAATTGGACGGTCACAAATACGTAGTAGTCGGATCAGCGTTGATAGATAACAAGGACAACGGGTCTATGTACGACCTTGAAAAGGAGAAGAGTCGCTTCTCACGTTTCAAGGGGTGGTTGGATCCGGAGGATTTGATGGTTCTGGCATGGATGCTGGATGGAGTCGAGGGCAAGGAAGATGTTTCCGACAAAGACATCGAGAAGTTCGTCAGCATGCGCATCTGTGGCTGGACGAACTCTTCATATTTCGAAAAGGTTGTGAAAGACATTTGAACAATAAGAGCTGGCAAAGATCTGGTAGATGCTGTACTGGGGTCCAGTAGGATGTTTGCACACGTCTAAATCGACACGATATGTAGAAGCTTATGATCATGGTAATTGGTGCCCACACGTCGAGCAAGAGGATAACTAAACAGGTCTGCAGCCTATGTTAATATAGGAGCATGTAAGATGGGTAACTTAACGTAATGCAGCCTTTAGCACTGCTTAAGTTTTTTCATTGTGAGGTACCTTTTTAATGCGAATGCTGACAATAAATGTCTCGTCGTAGTGCTCGACAGCTGGAATATACTCGTCATCGCTGGTTCCTATAGTAGTTGTCTAAATGTACACAACATTATGTCATCTGCGACATGTATGGAACAAACAACCAATCGTTATATTGCGGATGATAGCGCTACAGCGCCTACGAGCCTTCTACTGATACATGGACCACCAAGCCGTTTGGCGCTCGCAAGATAGGAAGAACCTTGTCCTGTACCATCAAGACATGTTTCTAGAACCCATGAACTTGAGACAATGTATGCGACATGGCGTAGTGTTGCTGTCGCACGCTGCCAAAGTCAATGACGTTTGGCATTGTTCCAAGTTAGTGTTTGGCGGCTTGTTGTTGCAGCCGGGATCCCCACATAACGTCGCCCATGTGGAAACGACTCCGCGAACGCATGATGCGTTCAGTACAAGACGGGCAATCAGACAGGAGCTGGCTGCAGATGCGGTCATTAAGACGGTGATATAGAAGGACCGAGCCGCATCTCCTTTTTGCAATGGGATGACCAGGAACAGGCTAGCGCAGGAACTAGAAGTGAGGTGTTTCAAGTTGACCTAACAGGGCACAACTTCGGGAAGGCGCGACCCCGAAACAGTTCACTCTCGTGCCATACGACGTTACTTTCACCACTGCACCGCCCACGACGTGCCCCTCACTGCCAGCAGCGCCGCATTCATCGCCATCCCCTCGCCTTCTTGCTGTCTCGTCGTGCCGCCGTCTCGCCCTCGCTGCCGCGTCAGTGACTCGCATGTCCCCCAACGGATCTCACTCCGCTTCACCCTCGCCCGACCCTCAGCCGCTCCTTCCTCGAAACACGCCCAGATAACGCATGCGACACCTGCAACGCCCTGATCGACCCACGTCCGCGATTCTTTGCTCTTTGTATTGTTGTATTTCCACGGCAACTGGAGTCGCGCTACGGTGACCCTGCGCAAGTCGACCCAGCCACCGATTGCGCCTCATCTCACCTAGCCATTCCTCCGAACGAAGATCCCCAACGTTGCACGCGCAGAGAGGAATGAGCTAGGATGACGCGACCGCATATCATCAGAGCAGGTACGGAGATCGTAGAGAACGCGCAATTGGAGGTGCGCAGGCTAACTGAAGTGCGTAGACACCATCGACCTGCAGGACAAATCGTCGCCCACCGCCCAAGACCACTCCCAGCAGCCCCAACACCCTGCGCCGCTCGGTATTGGCCCAGCAGCGCCTCACCAGCAGGCTGCGATACGGCATGTAGAGCAGGAGCGCACCTCAGAGGAGGCGCGTCTGCACGATGCATGGAGCGATGCTGGCAACACGCTACGAGACGATCCCGGCTCAGACGACGACCGCACTGTCATCAATGGAAACAAGGGCTCACAGCAAGACGAGCAGGCTGTCAGGCTGAATGGTGGAACGTCCAACGACGGTGATGATGGCGACATGCAGGACGCCGACGTCGAGGAGGACATGGACGACGACATGATGGACAAGATTTCGAGTTCGCCCTCGATAGACGATGGTGGGTATTCTTTACCTTGTTCCCCCACGACCTGGCCGGCAAGACAAGAGTTTACGACTCCGCAGTCTTCGCCGTTCCTCTCAACGGTCGCTTCTTCCTCCCCGTTTACGAACACGCCCATTCATTTTCCTATTTCTGTCGCCAACGCTCGAAGACCACTCAGCGTCCCAGCGTCCGACACTTCTCCTATGTCAAGGGGTCGACCTACATCGATTCCCATTTCTTTTCGATTCCCTATACCCACGGAAAATCAGTCAGCGGAGCATCATCGTGGTGAGTATTCCTGGACAAGGGCCACCAACGCACCGGACGACAGCGACACCATACGGATCGAGGTCGGTATGAGCCCGAGAACGAGACAACTCAAGGCCGTCGAACGCCGTATTGAGATGAGAGAAGACTCACAGGCATCACTAATCTCCGAACTGGACGAGGAGCAGGTCAAAAGCATGTTGAAACCGATTAACCGCGCACTTTTGGACACGCCGGACGATCCGTTCCTAGAACCCGGCCCAGGTCCACCTCGAGGGACGAGCAGCACCCCTTCCCCCGACGATGGTCACTCCGAAGACGAAGAGGGCTCTTGGACCACCGACAGCGATGCCGACTCCTGGAATGAGGACATGGACCAAGACAACGATGATGCATCCAACGACGTCTCTTTCTCTGATGATTCCAGATTTATCGACTCAGGATGGGGAGGCGAATGCTTACGAGAAACAGAGGATATCGATTTCGAATTTGTTTACGCCCTGCACACGTTTGTCGCGACCGTCGAGGGTCAGGCAAACGCAACGAAAGGTGACACGATGGTGTTACTTGACGACAGTAACAGCTACTGGTGGCTAGTACGAGTAGTCAAGGACAACAGCATTGGTAGGCATCCGTTACTAAGCTGAAGTTTTTGCTGACTCAATTTACAGGTTACCTGCCCGCCGAACACATCGAGACACCGACAGAACGTCTGGCCCGCCTCAACAAGCACAGAAATATAGACCTCTCCGCAACGATGCTTGGTGATACTGCCGAGAAATCCAAGAACCCGCTCAAGAAGGCTATGCGACGAAGGAACGCTAAGACCGTACAATTCGCTCCTCCTACCTACGTCGAAGCCTCGGACTACGACTACTCATCTGACGAGGGCGAAGGTGAGCTTTTCGGTGGCCCAGAGCCAAAGCAAATGCAACAGCAGCAGGCAGCAACACAAGATGGCGATTCCGCACAGGAAGAAAACCTGGAAGTGCAACCTCTCAAGGTTAACGGCGCGAAGAAAGATGGCCAGACTGATGGTGAAGCACGAGGCTCAAGCGAGGATTCCGCCAAACGAAGCGATGACCGTGAAAGAGGTAGCGAAGATGCGGTCGATCGACCTTTGGACCCCAAAGTCTCTCGGAATGGCACGCTCCGCAACACAGACTCTTTCTTCAAAGACGAAAACACCGAGACACGCAAAATCACCCTCACTCCCAACCTGCTTCGCGACGATTCCAGTACATCGACTACAGGCTCCCGCGAGCGCGGCCCCAGTCTCGAAAGTTTGGAGAAGAACGGGTTCGCGGACAAGGTCAAGGACGACAAGAAGAAGAAAGAGAAGAAGTCTGGCATGCTCAGTGGGCTTTTCAAGCGCAAGGATCGTAAAGGCAAGGGCGCACAAGACTCTGTGGACAGCGACATCGAAAAGCCGGAAGAAATGGACCGCAGCTCGCCGCAATCGAAACCATCGGATGAACTCGCAGAACGACCGTCAGCTGAACAGGCAACAGCTCCAGCACCGTTGAGACAGTTGAGCAAGCCCAAGGTGCATCGAAGTCAACGTAACCGAGACGATTCACCGCAAAAGACGAAGGGTATCTTGAAGACCGAGAGTCCGACTGAGTTGAGCGCCGAGCCAGATGCCATGTCGGATGGACCTGACAATCAGTCCGCCGCACAACAATCTACGTCGACCATGCGTCTAGTCCCGCCTGAACAGGATCAGGCAAACAGGCCTTCTGTAGAAGAACAGACCATGTCGCCAGACTCAACATCCGCGCCTACAGGCTCAAGAAACCCATTCAGTAGTATGATGAAATCACCACAAGAAGGAGAGGTCAAGCGCGAGAAGGTTACCAAGGCGAAGCAGCGCGTGCAGTTGGATGATTTCGATTCAGATGAAAGCAGCGATCCTTTCGCGGATCCTGATGCTCAGGATAAGCCAGGCGAGGCTGAGAAGTCCGAGTCTGCTGGACGCCTTTCTGAGTCTCCAGTACACGTCTCTGCAGCGGACGCACAGCCTTCACAGAAAGAGACTGTTGCCGACAGAGAAAGAGAGTCTGAATCCCACCACACTCCAGGCCTGTCTACCGATAGCTCAAGCCAAGAGACTAGCTCCCCCATTTCGACGCCTACGCCTGACGACAGCCCTATGAAAACCATTCCAGAAAACAACACGATTTCGACTTTCAGGTCTGACAACACTTCCTCACCCACGCATCATGCATCTGAACCGGCCGGTCCTCCACCCTCACGACCAGCACCAATCCCTACCAAGGATCGCGAACCTTCGCCGCCCGTATCCTCGGAAAGCGCAATGCTTCCTGCATGGTCTGACGCCTCGCTCCGCGCTTACCTCGATGATGGTAGCGAGATTCGTGATATGCTCGTCGTTATTAACGACACTACGGGGGTTGTACCTGTTGGTCGTGATCATCCACTGATGAAGGACTATCTCTCCGAGGAGACAAAGACCATGCAAGGCCTGAGTGGCGAACTAGATCGTCTGCTCAACGGGCTTATGGAGAAGCGCATGAAGAGAGCTGGAAGTGGTGCCAGCACCGCACGCAGCACAAGCGCAAACGGCAGTTTGAGGGCGGGGTCGAGATTTTAGACGCTCGTTCGTTGTGAGTTACATTATTTGCTTTTTCAGTATACCCTAGGGGCTTATTTCCTCTATCCTCAATCGGCGTTCTGGGGATTGTGGGACGCATTATGTGGAACGAAATCTTGGGAGAACTTTGGTTTTTTGGGCTGGGGTTCTACTTTCTTGTTCGCTTCTTCATACCTTTGCTTGTCATCCCCCCATTTTACATCCCTGTTTTCTTCCGGCCTGCATCATTCGCTCGCTCGCTGCGCGGAATATGTATCCTTATAGGAGCCCTGGTGGTGGCTGGTTTATATCTTCGCTACTGTCTCTAATACCCCTCTTGATTGCTCTGACATAGCGCTCGCTTTTTTGGTTTTCCTTGCTCGTGTATCACAAGTAGCCTTGTACCTGTTAGTCGCATCAGTGCGCTCTTACTTTCTTCGGCGGCGGCGTTGTATTGCTAGCATTTAGTGCACAAACATATACCTCCTGTGGGGGTTCGCCACACACTTCTTTGTTGCGTTGGTGTGTCTTTCGTGTCGCGAACTTGATGATTGTACTAACCCCACGAATTTCTAGAGCTTTGAAGCTGTCTCTCACGAGCGGAATTCACGAAAAAACAGGTCCTCTGCCAACCTGCGGGCACGAATGGCTTAGGCATCGCAAACCTGATGATGATGTATTTCGGCGACACGTTTATTGACAGATGACGTCACACGAGATGAGAAGAGGAACGAACTGCTTTCACTGCCATTGTTAGACGAATGAGTGTTTGCTACGTCCAAGCTTTTGGCGGTAAAAACAGTCTTTGCACCTGCCTTTCTTCCCAGCCGCACTCAAACGCCGTGATCCCACGTCCGACCCCGTAAACACCGCGCCGATGCAAGAGGTCGACAGAGACTGCGAGTGCGACGATCGCGAGCCTGAACCGCGTTATATTCCTGAACTGTCCAACGCCATCGAGAGATTCCTAGACGCTCCCTATGGATCCCAGCTCGTCATCCGATTCTTCGCAGCTATACTCAGTCAACGCGAAGCCGATGAGTACTGCCTTGTGTACACACCCACCCCTCAACGATACGACGATGTGTGCGCCACAATACCGGAACTCGTGGACCCGGAAGCACCGCAGTTTCAAACTAGGCAATCCGTAAGACAAGTCCTGCCTGGTATCTTCTACCGAGGATTGTATTCGAACGTTGTGGATGAGTACACCGATCAGACGGACTTGATGTCGGGAGAAGTACTTTGGGACAAAGGTGAAGGATATACGACGGTAACTCGCGGTGTCAAGTGGCTTGTCGAGTGCGCACTTATGCGTCTACCAGATGGAGTTGCTTATTACGCCGGGACGAGAACGGCGCTCCAGCAGCTTCTCACGCCTCAGCCAAAATACAACAATAGTAAAGACTACCAAGAGGGGGACCACTTCATAACCATGAAAGCCATCCAACCCGCGCTCCGTCTTTTTACCATGTGGCCCCGTTGCGACGAAGCATCCATAGACAGCCTGGTCGGTATCGTAATGGACATCGCACTCAACGTGGCCGCAATCTGGGACAGAAACCCATGTTGGTATCCATCATATGCGACCTATGTCGGCGGTTTTGTACAGGCACGCGCTCGCTTCAAGAACATAGTCGAAGCGACTCCATCACTTCACGGAAGTCAAGCCGAGGTGCTTCCTTACCATACAAGAGCCGCATTGAGGAAGATCAAGTTTAGGGATATCTGGGATGATCTGTGGGCCGAAGCTTTTGCCCTCACCATGGATAAGCCGATTGCAGACCATATGTACCAAGGAGTGATGGATCAGTTCGCCAGAGCCATGATACAGTCGAAATCGCAGACTGTGGATATGAAGGCTCTGTTGAGAGGGATGTGGAGAGACGGACGTTTACAATTTCGCACTTGGATAGAGATGCCTGAAGCGGTTTCTTCACTGTCAGCAGACGGTATTAGAAAGGGCGAGTTCGGAGGCATTCCACGAACTCTGGCTCAGCGGCAAACGATTGGAACCGATTTCTACGACAGCGACGAAATACACGCGTTTTGGTGCGCAAACAACTGGCAAACCGACAACGGAGAAAACACTGGAGAGGACTCCGAAGATGGATTCAATCTTGACGCGAAGACCCTACGCAACCTCTACGGAAGGGCTTATCTAGAGGCATACGGACCTGTCATGCAGCCATTAGACCATGCAAAATGGGATCTGGACATCCCTCAAGATCAGCTCTGCGTTGTGTGTCTTGAGACTCACGGCTTATTAGGTGCCAAAATGAGCGCTTGTGGCCATTACTTTCATTTCGCTTGCATCAAAGAATGGATGAATGACACTTCACCCAACTCCAACCTCTGTCCTGAATGCCGAGCTCAGATTTGTAATGAACGGAGGAAGGTACGGATGACGGGGTGGATGACTGATTCTGAAGATGACTCTGAGGATGGTGAAAATGACTTTGAGGATGACGAGGATGAGGAAAGTGATTATGATGATGGAGATGAAGACGACTCAATGCTTGAGCAGTTGGAAGGTGACGCGCTGAGGGATTAGAGAGCAGAGCAATAAAGAAGAAACTGAACAGGCCTGCAGCCTACATTAGGACAACATTGAGCAAAACAGAAGATCTAGCGTTAATGTACGCTTCACGTTGTTTAGTTTCTATGTAGACTATTCTCATACGTTCGTCACCTCGGTCTGCAACGCCTTCATGGGCTTCTCATCGAATGCCGCAGCCTCGGCTTCTTCCAGTCCCAAACTCTGTGCAATGTTGTACAGCCTCGTCTTCTCCTCGTGCGCAGTGCTGTCACCGAAAACAGCGTCCATCTCTTCCAGGCTCTTGCCCCTAGTCTCGGGAATCAGGAACCACGTGAACACGAAGGCGATCAAAGCGAAAGCAGCAAAGAATATGTATGTACCGAAACCAATGGTATCCAGCATATCGGGCGTGACGAGGCCGATGATGAAGTTGCACATCCATGTCGATGAGGTAGTCAGAGACATGGCCTTTGAGCGGTTACCGATGTTGTAGATCTCTGATGGAAGTACCCAGCCGATTGGGGCCCAAGAGTACGAGAAGTTGACATCGTATATGTAGATGAATGCGATACCCGTCCAGCCAGCTGCGGGGTGGTCTTTGAGAGTAGATCCGTAACCGCCGATGACACCGCCGACAATCAAGAGGGATATGCAAGTACCAGCGGCACCGCAGAGGAGGAGAGGACGGCGGCCAATCTTGTCGATTAGGAAGAGCGCAGGAAGAGTAGACAGTGTGTTAACTAGAAGATCATGTTAGTCATCAAGTCTCCTTGCGTCTGATTATGAATCTGATGATCACATACCTATTCCATATACGCCAGTTGCGAGTAGACCAGTCGTCTTACCACTGAGACCTAGCTGACCAAAGATCGTCGGCGCGTAGTAGATGATCGCATTACATCCGATGAACTGTTGGAAGAACATGACACAGCAACCGATAGCCGTACGCTTGAATGATGGCCAGGTCGAAAAAAGCGTCGAGTAGCCGGAAAGGTACAGTGAAACACCAGACTTGCCAGGGAACTTCTCGCGGTTGTATTGCTCCTCGAACATGACTTCGGCTTTGATGGAGAGATACTCCTTTTGCAGGGACTCATCATCTGGAGAGGTGCGACGTACTCGGGCGAGCGCTCTCACACCAGCCTCTTCGTTGTCGCGCATACAATAGTAGCGAGGTGATTCGGGGAAGAACAACATACCAATACCGAGAACGAGGCCAGGGAAGATCTGGAGCGCAAAAGGAACGCGCCACGCAGCATCGCTCTGACCGGTGCAACCGTTCGGGCCAACGTCGTTTCGTGGGTCGAAGGTAGGCTCTGCTGCAGTGCCACCGGTATACGGGATGTCGGGCGCGCAACGTACGCCGCCAATGTACTGGGTTCCGAATTCGAGCCAGTAGGAGACAAGGATACCGAGTGTGATGGAAAGTTGCTGGAGAACGACTAGAGTGCCTCTGATGCCGGCAGTCGAGACCTCACTCATGTACATTGGTACAATCATTGTTAACATGCCAACGGCGAAACCAGCGATTGCGCGGCCTGTGTGTATTGTCAGTCTGTATTAAGCTTGTACATCGCCCGAAATGTCGTACCTGCAAATGCCATTGGGATGTTGATAGCGCCAGCTTGAAGCGCAGAGCCGATAGTGAATATGACGACAGCTATGATGATAGACCCTTTGCGACCGAAGCGATCGGCTACTGGTCCGTTGACGAGAGAACCGAACCAAGCGGCGAGTAGCAATGTCGAGACGAACCAGCCCTTGAAGGAGCTGTCTGTGGAGATTCTCGGGAAAGATGCCGCGAAAGACTCCATGGTCAGCACTCCAGAGACTACACCTTGGTCATAACCGAAGAGAAAACCGCCAAGCGAGGCAAACTATGCATGTTAGTTGAGGCTAAGGTGAGTTGAGCTTGACATCGACTTACAGCGGAGAGACCAAGGAGATATGGGTTTTGTCTCAGCTCCTTGTAGACACCAATCTTTGGCGCCGCTGGAGCTGCGCCAACATCCTGAATTAAAGACATGCTGGTTGTCTTCTTTGTGGATTTGCCAATGTCGGCTCCGGTGGTTGGAATCAGCTGTGGGAAGGCAGCCTAGTGGTGGTAGTGTCGCGTACTTATATACCTTTGCCGATCGCGTGAGAACTTCACGATCGTAGCTGGCGTCCGACACCTTCGGAGCACTGTCGTCCGACTCCACGATTCTCCATGCGTCTACGCCGGTAGTCGTAAGTGTCATGCGGGATCCCCGCATGGTAAAGTTGCCTGATTCAGTTGTGGGAACTGGGGTTCCAACATGACTTATGCTCGGACAGCTGTCGTCCGACTCCACAACGCCAACGTGAGCTTTAGATCATAGCTCGTCGTATGCAGTACCGTAACACCGCTCACCTTATGCCAGTCTTTTCACCCGAACATCTCATACATTTTCGCATCTCATTAAGAATCTTATGTATGCTATACCAGGGTAGCCGATGATGCCAGCCGAATCAAAGGTGGACGCCTTGCGTGCAGCCATACTCGATGTGGCCAAGCGCACGGAAAACCTTCTGTCTCGCCAAGCGACCAATCCCGGTCATCGCATGCTTGTTGCTCTTGCGGGCGTGCCAGGCGCGGGAAAGTCAACGGTGTCTGATGCGCTCGTCTCTGAGCTTGCTGCGCGAGGTATCAAAGATGTTGCTGTTGTACCGATGGTAGGAGCCAACCGCAACCCGCAATGCCATATCTCTGACGAGCACTAGGACGGCTTCCACTACACTCGGGAAATCCTGTCGACTTTCGATGATGCCGAAGTAGCGTTCAAAAGACGTGGAGCGCCATTTACATTCGACGCGAAGGCGTGTGTGACGCTTGTCAAGACACTCAAAGAAGCTCCCGTCACCAAGGATGGCGAAGCCGACATCTGTATTCCTGCACCCGGCTTCGACCATGCTGTCAAGGACCCCGTGCAAGACGCTATCAAGATCTCTTCTCGTACTCGACTTGTTATTGTTGAGGGCAACTACACACTTTTGAAACAAGACCCATGGGATCAGATTGCAGAGATGTGTGATGAAAGGTTGGTCGTGGTCATATTATCGCCTGGCGGGTTGGTACTGACACTCTGTAGATGGTTCGTCGACGCGCCTGTGGACACAGTTCGTGATAGGTTAGCACAACGTCACCTTGCTGCTGGCATCGAGACGTCGATGTCAGCTGCAATCGCACGAGCAGAGGAGAATGACATCCCAAACGGCGAACTGATACGATCCATGATGGTAAAGCCGGATGTCATCATCGAGAATTGAGGCATCGTACCATTCAGATTGCGCCCGAGGTTAGAAACCGGACGTAGTAAAATCCCAATCGAAGGAGTTGAATAACTCATTGGACTCAACGGACCATGGAAACGTACTCAAGGCGTCTTTATCCAGCTCCAGATCCTGCAGTGTACCGGAGTCCAATTCACCGTCAGACACCACTTGGTCGAGGATGGCCACGCAGCGAGCCGACAGCGAATCCCCAACAAGCCGTTCGCGGAAGGTGGTTCGGGCTAAGCGAACATCGTCGTACCAAATTGCAGTCTCCTCAGCGCGTGGAAAGCTGATGATGCAAAGGGTTATTACTAGTGCCGCATGGAAAAGGAAGTACCTGTAACCCGATCAGCTTAGACATTGATATGAAGGGTCCAATTTAGATGCTTACGTCGCGTACCACCCCTCCAGTCTGTTCAAGTCCTGTGTTGCATATTGATGTATCGAAACCACTGTAGAATGCGCGGCTTCAAGACAAATTCGCTTACAGTCCTCTTGGCTTGACTGCATGGCTAGGTCTGGGATCTGGCCTCGCTCGGAAATGGCTCGGCGCAATAAGATCTGTCGGAATATGATGATCTTGAGATTCCAGAACCTCCACCACAGTCGAGAGCGGGCGAATGAGTACCATGGAGCCGTCGATCTGGGTGCATGCGAAAGCTGGAAATATGTCGGAACTGTGTGTGTCCACGCATCTATGGAAGCGTTTAAAGCGAGCGCGGCCTCCGCAGAGAGCCCGGGTTCGGCCAGTAGTTTGTTTGAGATGTGGTTCGTCTGTAGGTGAAAACTACTCTGCACTCTGAGAGAGGAGTATATAGTCGGTTCGTCAACCTCAGTGGGCAGCGTTGTAGTTTGTGGTGTAAGTGACTAGCATGCGTCAGTTTCGCGACGGCTATACAAACTTCGCTGGACGGTCATACCTCGTCGTGGATGTTCAGCACAGGATGAACATCCATAGTCTCTTGGTCAGGCAACATGATAGCGCGACCGAATGTCGTCGAAGCTCCACTGTCGAAGATGTAGAGACCCCACCATACTCTACGTCTCGTCTCGCGCTCGATCAGGGTGATGTTCCAGTGAGGAAGTTCTCTGTGGAGGGCTAGACTCAGCGCTGTGCGAACACCGAGGCCCAACAGATTCCATCCTGTATTTGGGCTATTGCGCTTCTGACTAAGGTTGCTCAGAAGTATGAGTGCTTGTACAGAGGTCAGGCTGGCAGCTTCAAACACCGACTCTTCCTGACCCAAGGTCAAGGCCCGGCGGTATAAGTAGTCTTCCAGTCCAATTTGATCGTTGTTCAACGACCACGCACCCAGTGCTATGATTGCATGAGAAAGCATGTTCCATGACTTCTTCGAGGGCCGCGGGACGACTTCATGGTACTGCGCTCGGAATGTTGCTTCGTGAACGAATGGATAGACTACGTGGTAGTTGGCAAAGTAGGCATCAATCAAGCTCGATGACAGCTGTGTTGTGAGAGCTGCATGCGAGATGAGCGATGATGCCAATACATTGCGAAAGGAAGCAGATGGAGTCGTCACACTCTGCTGAGGTCGGGGAACAGACTGGTGCAGAAAGCCGGCCCAGTCAAGCAAGCATCGAAGAAAAACGACACCAGAAGTCGAGCCTAGATAGTTTCAGTCACGCGTTTTGCTCTTCGAGTGAAGCAACTGACCCAAATAACCTACACCAGTAGGCTCGACTGACAGGGCGGCCATGCCATCAGTCAGCCCATCGACATTGACGTCTTCTTCCTGCCAATTGAAGCCATCGACATTGTTCGGCACAGCTTCAGGTAACGCAGGCTCATGTGTGCTTGAGTGAGTGCTGCCCTGGGGGCTTGGTGCTACTTCTGGCGTCTGAGACTGGATGATGACGGATCGTGCAGAGCCAGCCACATTTGGAGCTGATAACAAGTCTTCAATATCAACTCCAGGTAGCAACTGCGTGACCAGAGACTCCAGACTGTGCAGTCGCTTCTCTACACCCGTGAGGTATGCCCGTGTCAAGGGTGATCTAGCGACTTTGCCACTGTAATGGCAGTGCGAGCCGCTATGGGCGCAGGAAGTGCATATTGGCGCATCTTTCGAGCACTTTAGCTTCTTCGCGCGACAACGATCGCATGAGAGAGCATCGCGTGGTCTTCGGTGCTCCATGCATGGAGCTTCTCTAGTGTGCAGAGGTGGGGGCGGGATGCGGATGCAGAAGCATCGCCGCGCACCTTGGAGTGCAGCTCGCGCGCTGATCTATGCCGGAATCGGCCCGAAAGGCCGCGCACCTCTCGCGTCCTCGACTCCTGAACAACAGATCATCGACTTCGTTGGAAGCAGCAGGCACCACACTCGCTCATCGTCTTCGTCTGAGATACTGTCGGGATATGCAGTAAGCACCACCTGCGAAGTCTGCAACAACACCGCCGCATGTATTACATCCGCTATAGCACAGAGATGGATCACAGTGTTGCCGGAATATGATGCATCCTCTATTACAAGCTATTTCTGAGTCGCATAGGCATCCGAATTTACTCGCCGCAAAGATGCAGCTACACGCAATTCGGGACACAGTTTGCGCAGCTCCAAACTGGCTACAAGGCCCTATCCCCGCCAACAGTTGATGAACTAATCATCGCTAAGGTCTGCCATCTCCAACCTCTCGACCAAATGCCAAAGCCAATCCTCGAAGTGACTCTTGCCAAAGTCTCTACCTCTTGGAGCATTGTACTTGTTAGATCTCCATATGTTCGACATCGATCCAAAGTCTGCGTGAGAGGCTGGGTTGTCTATCAGAGTCTTCATCTCTTGTGTATTCTCACCGTCTTCGCCCACACAGATGAGCAACGCCTGATACGCCCTCTCAGCGAATACACTTGCTCGCGCCTCATCACTATGGAAGAGACTAAGCTGTACCGCATAGCAGTAGATATCCGCCTCTGGGACTTTGGCAGCACCTTTAAACTCCTGGAAACCATCAATCTGGGGCTTGCAGTTTCACTAGGCAAAACACGTACCTTGTTCAAGAGTTCGACTATCTTCCGAAGGTCGAAAAATGCCTCTTCAGGCTTGGACATCGCGCGATCTGCTTCAGCAAATGTGTCCTGGAGACGAGAGATTTCCTCACGACGCGCGTCGCTGGCATTCCGATGAGTAGCTGAGAGCGAGCAGATTGCACACGAACAGTCGAACCCGAAATGCTTTTTCAGGTAAGCTTGGCGAACACTGGCACTTCCAGAGTCGGTGTAGCAGATACTTATCTCTTCTCCGGCGCGGAGATCGCGAGTGACATGGATTGTCTGCATCCCCATGGAGTCATTATAGTTGTAATGACTATTTGGGAGGCAACTGTGATTGATGAAGCTGATGGTAGGAAAGATTGCAATAGCAGACAAGTTGCTGCCGCAAGCCATTGAGTTTGTTTTGAAGATGCCGCCGAGGACGTACTTGCCAGTGTAGCTGTTGTGGAGGGAAAAGAACTGTCGCTGCTGATCCTTGTCCAGGGCCTTCAGATCTCGTGCGAGTCGAGCCTCCAGTTGCTCGTTGGACATGTTGTTAGGTATCATGAGCAGCGGTTTCTCGGAGAGGATACGGGTGCCTTCAGGAATGTCGGAGCGAGCGACCAGGCTTCTGCCTTTTCCTGGGATCTTTCGAACATCGTAGAGTGAGGAACTCATTGTATGAGATGCGGCAGTAGTGAAACTAATTGCAGCAGTTAAGTATATCTTTTGCGACCGCTGACGCGAAGGCAAACTTTCGTGATTATCACGCTCTTGTGCCGCTTTGGCAAAGACGTTACTGCCCTCGCTGTGATGAACGAAGGCAAGAGAATGGTAGGGGTTTAGAAGAAATAGATTGTGAGTGAGTGAGTGACCTTTTCTACATCAGCTAAGCGCAAACCAGGATCTCATCACGTTGTCAAGCCGCTCTATCACCTCTCAAACCCACTGTTTACTCCCACACCATGAAATCAACATTGTAACACGTGCGTGGGTATTTCTCACACCTCCGAGTTCGCAGATCAACCTGATTGCGATCGCCAGAGCCAGTCTTCAAGCTCCGTCTCACTTAGACCTTCCGGAATATCACCTTGGCTCGTTTTCCATATCAGAGAAGAATATCCAAAGAGGTGATGTGTATGTGGGTCGACATGGAAATTCTTCATCGTCTGTGTTGTCAAACCATCCTCTCCATCGCAAACGAGCCGGACGTCGTAACCTCTTCCCGCGAAGACGCTGGCACGAGCTTGATCACCATGCATAATGGCGATCTGGAAGGCGTCGAAGTATAGTCTCGACTCCATGGTGGTGGCGCAACCTCTGAATTCTTCATTTAGGAGACGTACCATGTGTCGGCAGTGCGCTAAAACTTCACCCTAAAGCACACGAGCAAAAGTTAGCGGACGTCATGAAAGGTGTGCGAGAACTCATTCTCGTGTCTGCTTTCGATCTGAAAGATTGTGCTTACTATGATGACTTAGCGAAATGTGCCTCAGAACGGGGTCGGTGGAGATTGTAATACCTGGTTTGGATACGGCGCGCTTCATGTCACCCATGACTTTGTCAAGTTGCTCGATGCGAATACGGCGAGCATCACTCTCTTGTCTTTCCGAAATTGGAAGCGAGCAGACACTGCAGTCGCACTCGAAACCGAACGATTCGATTAGATAATCACGTCGCGCGTCGAAAGCCTCTTGCTTGCCGTAGCAAATCGTGATCTCCTCCCCCTGTTCAATGTCCCTGACTGCATGTATCATCTGGCTATTCTTCATGGTGTTCCAACTATGCTGTGAATTGGGTACACAAGAGTGGTTGATCAGGCAGATAGTCGGGAAAATGCCGACGGTCGGCGGTGTTGACTCACATGGTAGAGCGTTTGTCTGGAAGATACCGGTGAAGGCATTGCCGTTGGTGCGGCTGTTGCAGAGACTAAAATACTGGCGTTGTTGATCCTTAGAAAGAGCTGTAACTTTCCTCACGATGTTATCATCGAGGCTGTCAATCTCGGTAGCCAATGTGAGAAGTGGCTTCTCACACAGAATTCGTGTTCCCTTCGGTATGTTAGAGTAAGCTACAATGCCTTTTCCTTTCCCTGTAACTGGTAGTATCTCGTACAGCGGCGCCCTTGTCGGTTCGTCTGCGCGGGATGAGGATGCATTAAGCGACATGTCGGATTGATCACTAGAGTTGATCTAGGCACTTCGCAGACGATCAATGAACTGCGCAGATTATATGTTAAGTCAAACTGATTGTGAGTCAATCGAGGATCTGAAAACATGGCGAGCTTGCTCTCATTCTTTGTCTGGAAAACGACAAATCACTGGTAGCTGCGACTGTACGTAGCCAGCACGCTTCTCGTGGCTTCTTCGGTGCAACGGATCATACATGTATACCTAGGTAGTTATGCGTCATGTTCGAAGGAGGAGAATGATCGTTTATCTGAATCTCTTGCATGCACTGCGCTTTCCAGCTTCCAAACACTAAAACCTATGGTAACTACCTGGGTAGGTGACACGATACCTGTATCAGCCTTAGCAGCCTGATCCGGCGCGCCCTCATACCACAAGCTTCTGTCTACGCATCAGACAATGGCGAGCGTCGCCTCAATCGTTGGACTTTTTACACATACGTAGCGCCAAGTATTGGAGTATGTACCACATGACACAGTTGTCTCTCACATCTTGGGCAGCATTCCATCGACATGTGGCTTGTTGGCGTAATGACAAACGCGCGATCGCCGGATCTGTCAGGAGGAACCACACCAGAAACAAAGAATCGCGGTTCGGACGAGTAACGAGACGAATTGTGGCTCGAACGTGGATCCTGGAAGCCCAGTCATTACCCTGTCCCAGGAAAGTGCAGTGGGCACTCTTAACCTCGGACCACCCCTTCATTCTCAAAATTACCACAACACATTCACTACTTGAAATGTCCAACATCTGAGCGTTTGCGACCAGCGATCACGTCATATCTCCTGCTACAACACTCACCTTCCGCCCCAGCCTATTCCTACCCTTGATACCTTCCTCAATCATCCCGCCGGCTTTGAAGCACCAATATTACCAACATGTTCATCATATTTACCCTTGTCGCCTCCGCGCTCCTCTTGTTGACTACCTCTGTAGTCGCTCAAGGTGTCGGTCCCGACTTCACACCCGGTCGCTGTTCCTTCGACGCAGTCGTCACTCAGGATTGCTGGGACGACCGCGCCAACACTTACGTCGACCTCTCACCCATTTATGATGGCGCTGGCAACCAGTTTATGGAGCAAACTGACTTCATTGACTTGACCGATGGAGAGACGCTCACGGGCGTGGTTGCTGGAAAGAAACTGAAGATTGGATATGAGAGGGACAGTATCGGATGTGTGTATTATCGCCGCCCACTGGGATTCCAAAAGTGCTGACGCGAGATAGTCATCTACGGCGACGCTGAATGGCCTAACCAGAATGGAGACAGCGAGTTCAACTGCACCACTAAGCCGTGGGACAACCTGCCGCTGGATTGCAACGATGGTGACCGCAATCATCGAGTTAGTTCCCAAGATACTCTTCTGCTTACTCCCACTGACCATTCTTGAAGTCTCAAGCCCTGACCTGCGAATTCGACTGCACAAAGCCCGAGTCAGACTTCACCGTGAAGCGCGCGCGCTCCGAGGCGCTCCCCGAGATGCTTTCGATGCCACCCAGTCCAGCCGCTACCAACTCGACCTCTGCGAACTACGCCCCAGGGTTCTGCTCCTTCAAACTGCAACTATTCCAGCAGTGTCTTCACACGCCCGCAGAAGGCTGGCACAACCAGATGCTTGGCATGCTTTACAGCGTCGAAGACAACAACCGTAAATCCGTCATCACGTACCCTGAGGGAACCGGTCGTATCGACAAGAGTGCTGTGAGGCTGTTAGGCATGGGCGGCCTGATTGTGTTCTACAGGTCGGAAGACAAACAGATGTACTTTGCGTTTGAGCCGAAGGGTGGCTACTGGAGCACTCTGACCACCAATACCCCCGATGCGATGGGCATGTGCTCTTGGAACCCGTGGACGCGCGGCGAGACTGACTGTGATGAGAATCACCAGAACGATCACCCGAGGGTAAGTTATCCTGGGATTCCTGAATGGCACGATGACTAACGGCGTTGCAGCTTTCGGACATGACCTGTGGGTTCTGGTGCTAAGAAACCCGGGGTGAAGCCAGCGATGGCACATTGGAGGGATGCGACATTGGCGTCAGGTCGATATTGATCGAGATGACTGTCTGGATACATTGCGTGGCCAAAGGGAGTTGGGGGTTATGTTGAGGGTACTCGTCTTCCGGCTTAACAGGTGCTCAGCGTGCTGGTGTTGCATGTATCCATATCTCCAGCTGAAAGATAATCCTATCTTCTGTCCAAGGCCTGTGGCTATTCTTCCGACCCGGGTACATGCTTATGCAATTGTGCGCTAGTAGAAGCTATGGCATGTCATCGAGACGCGACCTCGGGCTGTTCGTGACGCGTGAGTAGCGACAATATACATCCCAGCCTCCAACCGTGCCAAATCGAGACACGGACAAAGACGACGGATATGACGTTCGTGGTCTCCGCTCACTGCCCATTGGCCGGATTGGGTGCTGTGCCACGCGCAGAGTGCACGAGCAGATCACATGCCGCGAGCAGCAGGTACGCCCAGGAAGCATCGGTCGGCCTGACGTAAGCAGCGGATTGCACGGCCACACTCAACGCGTGATCCGGCACTGGATCGTGAGGTACCCGAGGGAGTTTGCGACTGTTACGTGGTGTTGTGTTCAAGATTGGAGGAGCGGACACGCCATTCCGTAATAGCCAAAGCCCCCGCGCTCGTGACCCGCTCCCGAGTCCTTCGACGCCTCAGTACCGTAAGCTCAAGTCGACGATAACAAATAGCAGAATTACACGGAGTCATACACGAAGACCTTCCTGTAGGCGTTACCGTTGCGCACACTTGCTGCATATTGCATGCAGGTACCGTCTCGCTGGATTGAGGAGCCTCGGCGGTATTCCAGCCCTTATCAGAGCCAAAGTCCGCCAGCTCTCAGCCGGTGCAAGCCGACCGTAATCCACCACCACCATGTCGACGGCGGGCTCCAACGCTTCTCCACCGCCGCGCACGCAGAATGCCCAGCACACGCGCACCTACCAGGCCTGCATCCCGTGCAGACGCCGCAAGGTGCGATGCGGTACGTTGACGCTGCAGAGTGCTTATCGCGCAATTGCTGATATCTCCAGATCTTGGCCCGGTAGATAACCCACACGACCCGCCCTGCGTGCGATGCAGGAGGGAGAGTAAGGAGTGCTTCTTCTCTGCGACACGCCGGAAGCGCAAGGCCGACGGCGAGGACGACTATGACGAGGTCGACGACTACGAGCTGCGCAATGGCCGGAAGCGCCAGCGCTCAGATGGCCTGCCGGAGCCTCTGATCACCACGACGACCAACCCGGCGTACATATCGCAGCCTCTGACCCCAGGCGGCTCCATCGGACGGTACGAACCGCTGCGACGGCCGAACACGTCGGGCGGCCACCAGCCCACGCCCAACGAGGAAGAGGACCAGAAGGTGAACAACGAGACGGTCGCGACGCTGCAGGCGGGCGAGGTCTACAGCGGCCACGATGCGCTGAACCTGCTGTTCGAGGCGGCGGGCATGAACAACCACCACCGCA